TAATGATATAGTTTAATATTAAAAAAATTTTATACTTCTATAATTATGATATAATATAAAATAAATAAACACATATATTACAAGTGAATTTTATATAAAAATTGTTAAATATATATTTTAAATTATTAATATTAATAAATTATGATTATAAATTTATAAAAAAAATAGTGTTTATCTATCTTACTTCTTACAAATTAAGAAGAAAATTATCCAAAAATTACGTTGTTTTAATAAATTTTTATTGAAAAAAACTAAAATACTCTATTTATAAAACATGAATTAAAATGTTTTTTTGTTCTTCTCTATAGTATTTTATTCAAATTACATAATTTTAAAATAATTTTTTTTAATTTTTAAAAAATAAAACAAATGAACACTAATTTCAATTTATAATAATATATAATAATATTAGGATATTATTTTGGATAGGATATCAAATCACGAATTAGGCCATTCTCTTGGAATTTTAAGCCTTTCCGTACGTGGACATGATTATGAACATCATTCAAGGCGGCAGACAGGTGTGAATTATTTGTTTGAATGTTTCTAAGATTATGGGAATGTTCATGTTATGCATCTGGCTGTGTTTGTGGTTTTTGGTTGCCACTATCTGTATATAGCTCTCATAGCGTCCATATTCATCTTCTTCATCTTTGTTTCAACTTTTTATCTTTCTGTTGCTACTCAAATCTGCGAGTCTTTTGGATAGACTCAGAGCCAGCCCCCACCCCCCTTTCTCTCTCTCTTTTGGCAAAAAATTCAATCCACATAAGGTTCAAATTTGGTGACAAAGCGCTAGTAATACCGTACACAAATTTGGAATATGAAAATATTATAAGTATATATGATGTGGTATTATAAATTTATAATATAATGTATTATTATATAATTAATTTTTTATTTAAAAAATTATATATTATATTGTATATATTTACTCATTTAGTGTTACATTATAATTGTAAGTTTATAATTATATATGATATTATAATTATAAAATTTTTATAAAAAATATATTACGTCTATTTATTTTTAATAGACTTAATTTTTTTTTATCTATTCAAATAGAAATGTAATAGTTTATTAACAATATTTCATATTTACTTTTAATTAATATGCCTTAAATAAAATTTATTATTTGATATATGTTATAATTATCTTTAAAATAAAATAAAAATAAATATATTAAATAACATTTAAAAA